AAAAATCAACAACAAGGAGCACAAAAATGCAAGACGTACAGGTGGCCAACAGGTACGTGAAAAGATGCTCAACATCACTAATCATCAAGGAATGTAAATCAGAACCACAATGAGATAATCACCTCACAGCTGTTAGAATGACTAATATCAAAAAGACAAGAAATAACAAGTGTTGGTGAGGATGTTGAGAAGGTGGAACCCTTGTTGCGTGTTGGTGGGAATGTAAATTGGTGTAAACACTATGGAAAACAGCATGGAGGTTTCTCAAAAAATTACGAATCGAACTACTATATGTTCCAGCAATTTCATTTCTGGGTATTTATTTGAAGGAAATGAAAACACTAACTGAAAAAGTATGTGCACTCCTATGTTCATTGTGGCATTATTTACAATAGCCAAGACCTAGAAACAGCCTAAGTGTTCATTGATGAATGGATAAAGAACATGTGGGATCTGTATATACAAAGGAGTATTATTCAGCTATAAAAAAGAGTGAAATCTTGCCATTTGTGACAACATGGCTGGACCTTCAGGGCATTCTGCTTGGTGAAATACGCCAGACACAGACAAATACTGTATGATCTCACTTATATATGAGATCTAAACAAATAAACAAAAAACCCAACTGAACTCATAGATTGGTGGTTGCCAAAAGTGGGGGATGGCGGAGTTGGGTGAAGGTGATGAAAAGGAATAGTCTTTCAGTTACAAAATAAGTAAGTCCTGGGGATATAATATACAGTATGGTGACCGTAGCTAATAATACTTTATTGAATAATTGAAGTTTTCTAAGAGAGTAGCTCTTAAAAGTTCTCAACCCAAGGGAAAAAAATTGTATGTGGTGATAGATGTTAACTAGACTTATGGTGATGGTCATTTTGCAAGATATATATAAATATTGAATCATTGTGTTGTACACCTGAAAATAATATAATGTTATATGTCAGTTATATCTCAATTTTTAAAAAGCACAAAAATACAAAGAATGAGGTACTGGATGACTGTGAATAGGGTAATTGTTTATAGTATGAGAACTGAAGAAAGGAGACAGAGGGTTGCCTTGTTTGACCTCAGCTAGGAACATGTGCATTGGGCGCTGCTCAAATTTTTCAACACTCTGTACTTATCTGTGAATGACCTCATGAGTGTTGATTTTGAGGTTACAAATAAATTTTGGCAAGTAGGCACATTTGCAAATATGGAATCCATGAATAATAATCGACTATATATCCCTGCTCTTATGTTTTCTTTCTCATTAAATGACACCACTATCAAACCAGTTATCCAGGTTAGAAACCTCACGTTAGCTTGCTGTCTTTTCTGTCCTTTACCACCAATATCCAATCAGTCATCAGCTTGTACCTCCTAAATATATGTCAGGTTCAGACTGATCTTTTTGAGGCTAATGTTCCCTTTCTTCATTCTGCTCAGTACATTACAACTTACAAATGTCTAAAACTCTGATTGTCTCTAGAGTTGAAGTGCAAATATCTTAACAAATTTATAAAGTCCTCTAGCCTTTATTTCTTGTCATTCCTTTCTCTTACATTCTGAAGGTTCCATCATGAAGAATTTCAATTCATGGGATGCATGAACCTCTGTGTCTCTACGAGAACTATTTTTCCCTTTCTTTTTATGTGGTTTATTCTGACTCATTCTTCAAGTAGGAATATAAATGGCATTTTTTTTTTTTCTGGGAGGCTTTCTCTGACATTCCTCCCACCTACTACACACACACACACACACACACACACTCCAATCCATAGGATTCTGTGGTCTTTTTTGTTCATTTAATTGCTAGTTTTCCACCATAGACTATAAATTCAGTGATGTTCTTTATTGTATGGTAAGTACTTTATGTACAAAAAGTGACTTGTTTTTCTGTGATGTTATGTGTGTTAATTAATTATTACAAAGCCTTTGGACCAGTGTAATACTAATGACATAAAATGAAAACAACTTTTCACTGGTCTGTTATTTATATCTATTTGCTTATACTTTCACTGACTTTTGAGGTGGGTTTTTTTTTTAATTAATATTAATGATTAGAGGAGCTTGAAACTGAAGTGGCAAACTTTTATAGTTCATCTGTTGATCTGTTTGTGAAAAGACAGGCACTCAGCTGGACTGGTCAGGCGTCTACTTTAAATTCTACCTGTAAGTATTGAGTTGACAAAATTGGCAGAGGAAATAGAATACTCAGAGGTGAATTTATTTAGCAGCCACTAGGGAAAATCTAACTCATTTTTGTAAATAGAGAAGCCAGAATTACTAGATAAATTGGTCTTTTCTTGTGTTTTTATTTTATCGAATGAGTATTTGAAAGGCAAAACTGTATTTAGTTTAGAACTAAGTAGAGGTCTATGATAGGTTTTTATATAGAATTTTGTCTTGTATAATTTCTATCTTTTACAACAAATAATTAAATTATTATACAATGGCCTAATTTGAGAGAAGACTTGCCCTAAATTCTCAGCTAAGTGTATCTTGGCTCCAAAGCATGTTGAATGTGTAATGTCACACAAGAATAATAAAGGGCCTTTAGGGCTGTTAACTTTAAAATGAAAAGCCCTCAGTGTGTACAGCATGTAATTGACATTTAATAATACCACTATGCTGTGAAATGGTGACAAGTGGGGAATAACTTTAACAAACCAACAGGCAGTTTCCACTTCTTATTTCTTAAATAGAATCATTTGCTACCTCATTAACTTATGGACTAAGAAATAAGCAAGCCTTGAAATAGCGGTCTTAATGTTTGATTTCATTTTATAGCAGGAAAGACTCAGGTGTCTACAGTTATAATCACGTTAGCATTTTAAAACCTTTGTTTTTAAGCTACACCAGGGGTCAACAAACCATGGGCCACGGCCACCGCCACCCTGCTGCTTGCTTTGATGTGACCTGTGAACTCAAAATGGCTTTCACATTTTTAAACTGTTGATAAAAAAAATAAAAAAAGAATATTTCATGACAGATGAAAATTATATGAAATTCTAATTTCAGTTTCCACAAATAACATTTTATTGGAACACAGCCACACTCACGTGTGTACTGTCTGTGGCTACTTTTGCATTTCAACAGCAGAGGTGAGTAGTGGCGACAGAGACTGTATAGTTCACCCAGCCTAAAATATTTACTGTCCTACCGTTTAGAGGAAACCTCTAAATAAGCCAACCCCTGAGCTTATGCTATTGAGTTAGTGTGATTTAGTACCTTAAATCAACTTCTCCAGTTTAGGGATCTAACAGAGAAGTCATGTTGAATAGGATTCTTCAGACTTCTGGGAAGGTGAAGGAAACTCAACTTCGGTATTGCATAGTTTATGCTTTTTCGCATGGGCAAGGCTTTCATTTCCATCATTGATTTATTCATCTTGTTTTTAAAACAATAAGCACATGCATAACGGTGATTATTTACCAGATACTGTTCTAAAAGCTTTATAACTCATCTGAATCCTCATGACAATGATGAGGGTGGCGTCTCTACAGATGAGAACACCATAGCACATCTGTTAAGTAAATGGTGGAAGGTAAATTAGTGAAAGTTATACAGCTGGTCATATGAGTTATACAGCTAGAAAGGAGCAGACTTGCGATTTGAATGGAATCATCATCATCTGGTTCCAAAATCAGTGCTCTTAACCACCATGCATGCTGTCTCTCCATTTCTACTCTTATTTATTTAGAAAAGTCTTGGATTCAGAGTAGAATTTAGTCATGGGGGGGGCATCATTTTTTTTAAAGATTTTATTTATTTATTTGATGGAGAGAGAGCACAAGCAGGCAGAACAGCAGCAGAGGGAGAGGGAGAAGCAGGCTCCCTGTTGAGCAGGGAGCCCGATGCGGGTCCCAATACCAGGACCCTGGGATCATGTCCTGAGCTGAAGGCAGACACTTAACCAATTGAGCCACCCAGGCGCCCTGGGTGGGGAGGAGGCATCATGTTTTAAAAGCTTTGAGTTCTATTAGTTTCCTAGGGCTGCTGTAACAAAGTATCGCAGGTTGGGTGGCTTACACAGCAGAATTTTATTGGGTCACAGGTTTGCAGACTAGAATCCATAAGCAGGTGTCAGAAGGCCATCCTCCCTCTGAAACTCTGGGTGGCATCCTTCCTTGCCTCTCCCCAGCTTCTGGCGGTGGCCAGCAATCCTTGGTGTCCTTGGCTTGCAACTGTGTGATTCCAGGCGTTGTCACAGGATGTTCTCTCTGTGTGTCTATCTCTGTGTCTTTTCTCCTTTTCTTTTAAGGACACCAGTTATATCGGATTAACGGTCACCCTACTCTAGTGTGACTGCATCTTAATTTAAGTACATCTGCAGTGACCGTATTTCTAAATAAGATCCTATTATGACGTCCCAGGAAGGACATGAATTTTGAGAGGATGGGATTCAACCCAGTTACAGAGCTCATGAGCCAGCTCTTGTTCTCTGGAGCACCTTTCAATTTAAGAAACTGTGCACCAGAATTTCCAGGGCTTTGTTTCTTCTTTTTTGGTGTTAATCCTGTGCTTGATTATGTGCTAGCTGGGAAGACTGATGTACTGTTCTCCACTTCTGCCTTTTTCCTGCCTCCCCCTGGCCCTTTGCTCATGATTCATTTGGGACTGGTTTTCATTCTGAACATTTTTCTTCTGGAATGTTCTGTGAGGTTTTTAAAGAACATTTGCTCAACTGCTCTTATGAGAATGTTGGTTTGTCTTCATTCTTGTGAATTTGTGATAGTTGATTCAGCAACCAGCTTTGGTGTGTTGGTGGTTGAGTTCTAGTAGTGTCCTCTTAAGAATCTTTTGTATCCATTCTTACGGGATTTGTAAGTAGGGTTCAATAAATGGCCATAGTTGTTTTTAGTTGTTTCTATGATTATTATCATTGTCAAAATAGCAGATTTTGAGAAATGTGGGGTTGCCTCACTTCCAGACCTGGAAGCTTCTCTTTTCCCACAAAATACTAGAATAATTGGTCAGATTGCATCAACCCATTTCCTTTTGTTTATTTACAGGGTGCCCGGGAAACATTTGAGAACTACTACCGAAAACAGAGGCGAAAACAGGCCCGTTTGGTGCTCCAGCCTCCATCTAACATGGTAGGATCACCAACTTAACTTTTCTCAAATTTTCCACTTTTCTTCTCTGGCAGCTGTTCATTATTTTGCATATGTACTATTTTTTTTTTTTAAACTGTCGCTCTGAGATCATTTTTGGTGGATGTGACAGTAAGAAAATAGCAACTAACATCTATTGATTGCTATGTGTCAGGCATTGTTTTAGGTACTGGGATGAATGATCTCAGTTCATCCTCATTATAACCCTATAAGGTAGGGTACTATTGTTATATTCACCTGAGTCTTGGGAACTGAGCCTTAAGAAATTAAGTAACTGATTTTAACTTTGTCTTAATGTATCAAAATAGAAAGAATAACTTTTTTCTTCTTTGCTTTGTTGCAGCATGAAACTTTAGATGGCTACAGGAAGTATTTTAATCAAATTGTAGGGTAGGTATATATATGTGTGTGTATTTAAATTTATACACTTTTAATACCTAGACTCGTGAGACTTGGAAAAATAAGTTTTCCTTGGGAGATTTTTTTTTCTCTTTTTCTTTTAAATTCTTAAGATTTATTTTTGACTTTCTGATAATTTTAAAGGAATGTCTTATTGGTTTCAGCATTATATTGTTGGAGACTAGTTTTGGTGGATAAGGGAGAAAAACTTTGAATTGTACTTTTATTACACCTGATGTTTTGTTTCTCTATTCTTGGTAAGAGGGAACCAAATAATCAGCAAAAGTTGGCAAACTTTTTCTAAAAGGGCCAGATAGTAAAGTATTTTAGGCTTCGCAGGCCATACGGTTTCTGTCACAACTATTCAGCTCTGTTGTTACAGTGTGAAAGCGACTATAGACAATATGGCAATGAATGAACGTGGCTGTGTTCCAATAAAACAATATTTATAAAAACAGGCAGTGGGCCAGATTCGTCCCATGGGCTATATAGTTTGCCACCATCATCTAGAGTATACATACTAATATGGAATTGCATTTCCCAAATAAACACCCCAAATATAGGCAGCTTATTCTAATTGCAAAATAATGACTTTGCAATTAAAAGAAAGGGAAAGAAGTTGGATTGTTCCGTGAAATTTTCTTTTTTATTTCAGATTTAGATTTTTCAATGTAATTGATAGTTTTGGTTAAAATATATCATGAAAATTCCTTATTTAAAGAATTATTTAGCATGAACATTTAGCCAAGGGAGCTAAAGATACATTGTAAATGCACAACAATAAAGCTACAACAGAGTGTTAAAAAATAAGTTTGCATTTTCTTGACCTTTGTAAGATACCTTTTGAACCCTGTAATGAGGAAGTCCATATAAAGGGAATCATTTTGATATTTTGTATGTTGGGCTCTTATAAAAATGTATATGTTAGCTTTCGTTGTCTCTTTAAAATCAGTTATTTTTTTTTAACTGTCTTAATGGCCTGGTATTTTTTAATATAGTGAAATTAGCCTCCCTTACCTGTAACCATTTTCTTCCCTTTTAAATTGCTGACCAGTATGGTTAACATTTTTTTTTTTTGACTTAAACAATGGAAATTTATTTTCTCAAGTTCTGGAGGCTAGAAGTCCAAGATCAGGATGTTAGCAGGTTTGGTTTTCTGAGGCCTCTCTTATTGGCTTGTAGGCGGCTGCTTTCTCACTCCATCCTCTTCTTTTTTCTTTTTTTTAAATTTTATTTTATTATGTTAATCACCATACATTACATCATTAGTTTTTGATGTAGTATGGTTAACATTTAATAGAAACGTGACTCTAATTTCTGTAAAGTGGTTGGACAAAATTCTAAGTCCTAGGAATATGATTTTTTGTTAATGACACCAAGTAGCTTTCTTGACTATTAACTTTGAATTTGATGGCAGCTCTTAATGTTTGTCAGACCCTGGAGATAGTAGTCAAACTGTAATTTCTGACAGCTGTACTTTCTTTTTTCCTCCATCTTAGCTTTTTTGTGGTTGAAGATCACATTTTACATACAACCCAGGGCTTAGTAAATAGAGCCTACATTGATGAACTCTGGGAAATGGCACTTTCAAAAACCATTGCAGCACTCCGCACCCACTCGGTACGTAAGAAGCCCCCGCGAGAAGTTCTCACTTATTGCTGATTATCTATATACTGGTCAGTGTTGTCCTGCGTTAAAAGTATGTATTGTGTGGAATCACCTACTTGGAGCTCTCTCTCTCAAAGACATATGGAAGTAGCCTCTTCAAATTGCCATCCTTTCTAACACTGAACACATTTTTGGATGCTCTCTGCAGTAAGAAATAAACAAAACAAAAACCCCAACAACTGACATTTATTGGAATCTTTTCTCTGTGTCGGGCGTTGGTGTGTGTACTTCATATATATTTCATAAGGTAGGTATTATTATTATATTTACCTTATGGTCTGGGGAACTGAGCCTCAGAGAAGTTAAGTAACCAGCCTAATGTTACACAGTAAATGGTAGAGCTTGGATTCGAATCCAGACATGTGACTCCGGAGCCCATATTCTCAGCCACTACTCTAAATTGCCTTCTATAATGCCAATTAATACTGACTTGGAGTTCATAGTTTTATTCTTATTTTTTGGAAAAAAAAATGCTATAACATATCAGTAAGTTACCTAATTATGAGTTCCCATGATTTTGATATATTTTATTAAAGCCTGAATTTTTGATGATAATTCACTTTATTTCAGATAGATAATATTGGCTCTGAATTAATCATTTGTTCAATATTTCTTTAACACATGTTGGCAATGGGAATGCAACGGTGAGCAAGATGGATGAAATCTTTGCTCTCAGAAAGTTATATTTTGGGGCGTCTGGGTGGCTCAGTCGTTAAGTGTCTGCCTTCAGCTTGGGTCATGGTCCCAGGGTCCTGGGATTGGGCCCCGCGTTGGGCTCCCTGCTCCGTGGGGAGCCTGCTTCTCCCTCTCCCACTCTCGCTGCTTGTGTTCCCTCTCCCACTGTGTCTCTCTCTTTCAAATAAATAAAATCTTTAAAAAAAAAAAAGAAAGTTATATTTTGATTGGGGAGGTTCCCAATAAACAAATAAATAAGAATATCAGATAGTGATAATACAATGCAATTAAAACGGCGATAGATTAGGGTGCCTGCTTTTGATTGGTTGATCAGAAGTGGCATTCTGAGATCAGAATATCAAGGAGTCACAATTTATGCAAAGATCAATTAAAAGGGAATTCTAGGTATAAGAGAGTAGTACAGGGGCTTTGGGGATACTTTTCTATCTGAACTGTTCGAGGAATGATAGTGAAGACTTAATAATAGAAGATAATTTAGCATCTAGAATATTTCAGTAAATGGCTCTCATATCGATCTAGTTGTGCCAGCTAGAAACTTAAGTTATCCACGATCCTTCAGCTTTCTTATCTCTTCATCAGCAAGTGTTCCAGAGTAAATGCCATGTGTAAAATCTGTAACTGATGGGATTGTAGCCGTTTTAGGGAATTGAAAAATGTTCAGAGTGGGTAGAACAGGGAACGTAGAAAGTTAGGCATGGTATGAAGTAAAAATAAAAAAGTAGATAGATGTCATATTATTTAAAACATATTTGATGCTTTAAGCACTGGGTTGAATGGAGTGTGTATGTGTTCAGTGTGGGGGTAGGGTAAATTAGAGTGAGAAGATCAGTTTTCCATTCTGGCTCAATTATGGATGAGTGATGGGAAAGGATGTGGGCAGAACAATTAATAGGATAGTTTAATATTCAGGCAAGAGGTGATGATAGCTGGACCAAGGGCAATAGTAGATATGGAGAGATGTGGATGAATTGGAGAGATTTTTAGGAGGTAAGATTAATTGTATTTTCTGATGGATTAGATATAAAAGGTAAGATTAAAAGCATATCGAGGTAATGCCTAAGTTTGTGGTTTCTTTCCCTTTGATGGTTTGGAGTGGGGAGGTCATCAGTGGCCTTTGAATATGATTACTTTGCCTTTGTGCCATCCAAGTAACAAGGTGTAGGAGTTTGGTTAATATATGCATTTGAAACCAAAGAGGATATGTCATTGAATACATTGCAAATGTTTTTCTCCTTTTATTTTTATTTATGGTTTCTTTTTTGGTATTTAGAAATGTTAAATGTTTGCCTCTTTATATATCTATCTTTTTTTTTAAAGGATTTTATTTATTTGAGAGAGAGAACGAGAGCGGGTTCATGAGCTGGGGGTGGGGGGTGCAGAGGGGGAGGAAGAAGCAGACTCCCCACTGAGCAGGGAGCCTGCCATGGGGCTTAATCCCAGGACCCTGAGATCATGATCTGAGCTGAAGGTAGACATTTAACCAGCTGAGCCACTCAGGCACCCCTATATATCTATCTTATTTTAAAATTTCTCTCACTGCTTATATGTGACCTAGGACTTCATCTGACATTTTTATCATTTTATTCTTTTGTCATAATAAAGTCTGGCAAATTTAAAAATATTTTTTAAAAGTTCCTGCCTGTTCCAAGACTAAAAAAAAGTCTTGTAACTATGTTATGGATTGATTTTTTTTTTTTTTTACACATTTATGTATATACTACCACTTGTTATTTATTTTTATTTAAAAAATGATTAAGGATCTCATTTTACTTTTTTGCAATAGTGTATCTATTGTCCTAGGATCATTTTTTTAATGTCTTACCTTCTCCCTTAGTATGATGTGTTTTTATATGTAAATATTTATTTTACAAAGGTAACATGTTTATTCTAAGATAGAAAATATTGATTGTTAATAGTAACAAATTGTGGCCATGATCCCTGGCATGATTATTATTAGCTTTCTTATATGTAAATTTAAAGATTCTTTTTCTTGTGTATGAAAACACAATATACAATATGTATTTTAAATAGAAACAAGTTGTGGTTTTCACTTTGTGTCTAATCAATCTGTATTAATTTTAATATTTACTTGCATAATATTCCATTGTAGTACTCTGTTGTTTAAAATAATTAATTCACTTTTTTAAAAAAGTTTTGGGGCCCTTTTTTTAAGCTATTTTAAAAACATTGCAGTGAATATTTTTATAAAAATGTTCTTGCACAATTGATTATATCTAGGATAAATTCTTAGATTTATCTAGGACAAATTAGTGAGTTAAAGGATCTGTACATTTCTTAGGCCCTGGATGCATATTGTAATTTGCTTTGCAAAAATATTTATCATTTAGTACTCTGAACATTGTCTTTTAGAATGCCTATTTCCCTATTCCTTTTACTTCACAGAAAGTTATGTTTAAAAACAAAAAATCATTCCTAATCTAATATGTCAGAAATTTTATCTTAATTTAACATGTTTTTCTTTGATTAATACTGATATTGAAACTCTCTTTAAATGTTTTTAGTTATTTGTATATCTTCTTAAAATTTCCTTTTCATATGCATTGCCTTTATATTTTAATAGTTTAAAAATATTTTATTATTTATTAATAAAACATGGATGCTAGCTTTTAATCTGAATGTTAATCTCTGGTCTAATATATAGGTTGCAAGTATTTTTTCATAGTTTCATGTGTCTCTAACTTTTCTTTTCCATGGCTTTACAGAAGTTTAAAATTTTTTGTAAATATATTGATTTTTAACTCAACAACTTATGTCTTCCTTATTGCAAAGAATATATAATTATTTGTCTATATTTGATTTTAGTATTTCTGTACAGAGTTACTTTTTTATGTATACGTCACAGACATAAAAAGTTTATTTTAGTATAGGGTGTGAGGTTGGATTCTTTTTTTTTTTTAAGATTTTGTTTATTTATTTGATAGAGATAGAGAGAGCGTGCACACATGCACGCAAGTGGGAGGAGGGGCAGAGGGAGAGGGAGAGAATACCAAGCAGATTCCACATGGAGCCTGGAGCCTGCCACTGGGCTCGATCTCATGACCCTGAGATCATGACCTGAGCCAAAACCAAGAGTTAGTGCTTAACCGACTGAGCCGACCAGGCACTCCTTGGATTCTGTCTTTATTTTTTATGACTCATCACTTCCAATAACATTACTGTGTTAATCTCTCATTTTATTCAGCTCAGATGGCCATAATGAAATGTCATAGACTTGGTACTCAAACAACAGAAATTTATTTTCTCACAGTTCTGGAGGCTGGAAGTCTGAGATCAGGGTGCCAGTAGGGTTGGTTTCTGGTGAGGGCTGTCTCTTGAATTGCAGGTGGCTGTGTCCTCACTGTGTCCTCACATGGCCTTTTCACAGTGTCACCTGCTTCTTTTATAAGGATACCGATTCCTTCAGATCAGGGCCCTTCCTCCTTTGACCTTAAATATCTCTCTAAGTTCCATCTCCAGGTATAGCTACACTGGGGGTTAGGGCTTTAACATAGGAATTTGGGGGAGACAAGAGTAATTGATGCCACAAATGTTAATTCTGTTTCATGACACTATTTATTGTATTATATTACCCAGCAAAGCAAGCCAAAATAAGAGCAACCCAAACATCAAAACAAATCTCAAAAAGAAACACTATATCTGAATGATTGTTACTTGTTTATCAAAAATCTGTATGTCTTTCTAACATTCTGTGTTACATTTAAAACTACTCTTTCTCTGATTGAATTATTAGTAATTGCATAAATTAGAAACATTTTGAAAGCGATAATATTTCAGGTATCAATATGTATAGTATTCTCAATGCTGATTTCAAAACCTGAAAGAGATCTTACATGGTCCATCTCTCTTGGAATGCAAATTTAGCAGTATATTAAAATATAATTTGCTAATACAAAGGAAAGTTTGTATCAGGAATGATTCAATATTAGAAGATCTGCTAATATAGTTTTTAATAATATGATAAACATCATCTGATAATACTGAAAGGGTAATATGATAAACCGATCATCTGATAATACTGAAGGGGATAATACTGAAAGGGTACTCAAAATTATGGAACAATGGGGGCGCCTGGGTGGCTCAGTCTTTAAGTGTCTGCCTTCGGCTCAGGTCATGATCCCAGGGTCCTGGGATCGAGCCCCGCATCGGGCTCCCTGCTCCACGGGAAGCCTGCTTCTCCCTCTCCCACTCCCCCTGCTTGTGTTCCCTCTCTCGCTGTCCCTCTGTCAAATAAATAAATAAAATCTTTTAAAAAAATTATGGAACAATGTAATACTGTGTGGCAAAACCTCATGTTTTACAGATACTAAATATTGGATATTTTAGTTTGTTATGTGGTAGGTAGAAGAGAGTGTGTCGTGATAATGGTTTTATACACACCCATGCCATGTCCATACTCATCCCCCTCACATATTTTAAGTTTTTTTGAGTCAAAAGGGTATACTGAGTATACTCGTCTTCTAGTTCTGCTAACCAAACTCTTGTAACCCAATAACATGGGGAAAAACAAAATAGAAAGAAATTCTGCAAAGTACCGTCTGTAGGCCAGAAGTTTTGAAAAATTTCCTTGAACTTAGAAAACAAATGAAATTAGAAAATTAACTGAACCTGAGACAAGAAAATATTACATTAAATATGGCAGAGGGAGGTATTGTCAAAGTAGGAGATATTCTTCCAAATGGAATCTAGGAACTCTCTAAATTTAGAGTTAACAAATACAAGGAGCAGGAATGGGCCTAGGAGAAATCATAAAAGAAATTATTTTAGAAGTCTACTTTCCAAAAATCTTAGCCAGCCAGCTGCTTACCCAATTCCTTTGCCCAACCTTACCATCTATGTAAAGAGACAATAGTATGATCAGTAAAGTTCTCTCGTGCTACCTTTTGAAGGAAGTGATTCATCTGCGCCCCTCCTACGTCCTCCCCCCACTTACGAAGAGCCTGCAGTCACTTTCTTGGGAAACAGACTTACACTTACAGAGGAAAAACCCATGCAAGTTATCCATACTAATCAAATAATCAACCTAGTCCTTCATTTGAAAACATGAACAGTCAAGAGTCATAAAATATTTGAGGAAAACCAGTTACATCAAATAGAAGATAACAGTAAACAAATAGAATAGCCATTCTTTAGCAAATACGAATAATTCATGGACTAGGAGAAAAATTTACAAAGTATAATAATCATTCCTGGTTTTAGGAATATAGGAGACTAGGTTATTCATATCAACCCTTCAGCTGGAAACTACTAAAAATGCTGCATTTTTGTATATATACCATATAAAATGTTCTGTAGTTCTCAAGTGCTTGGTAAGGATATTAAGGAATTACCAAGCCAAATCCAGGGAAGTTAAGAGTCTAGAGAGAGAAGCTAACCCCTTAAGCTTTCTTTGCCTTGAGGTCACTTGTTAGTTCAGACAATTTGAACTTTGATTTTGACAGCCTCTTGGGGCCACCCACGATAGAAAGTGTATAATATGGTGTCTTCAAACCAAAGATATGGAAAATGTGAAAGGAAAGTTAAGAAACATGGATGGATACCTGATATTAATTTTTGATTATATCAAATAGAGATTTAGAAAGAGAGGATAGTCACAAAGGAGGGGACTTTAAAAATTAAAGAATTAAAAGAAGGAAATTTCCCTTCAATGAGGAAAGACTGGATTCCTATAGTTGGAAGGCTGTATTGAGTGTCAAGCTGGATAAAGGATGGAAGATAATTCTTTGACAGAAATTTCGCATTTTAGTTTGAGGGCAAAATAAAGCCTTTTTCAAATATATGAGGATTCAAAGTTTACTCTTTATTTTATTGGTATTTTATAAAAAATGAAAAATCCAGATTATAAGATGGGATAGGATTAAATAAAATATGTGCAAAAAATGGGTAACACTCATAGATAAATCTAATTAGCTGATATTTGGTTATTTGTAAAGTTTAATGCTTTTAAGAATCTGTACAGAAGGAGACTTAATGTTTAAAAAAAATTTTTTAATGAAAATTCCGGATTATTTTCATGTAAACAGTGGGAAGAAAGTGTATAACTTATTTAATGACCACTGTAAGTTAATTAAAAACAACTATGATCCAATGAAAATCATGAAATAAGAAAGAAGAAATCATTGTAAATAGAAAACTGAAAATAAGATGGAATAGGTTCAACATGTCAGCAATCACAGGAAATGTCAAAGAGGTAGTTTTTGTTGTTTTTTTAAATTTTATTATGTTATGTTAGTCACCATACAATACATCATTGGTTTTTGATGTGGTGATCCACGATCCATTGTTTTTGTATAACACCCAGTGCTCCATGCAGTATGTGCCCTCCTCAATACCCATCACTGGGCTAACCAATTCCCCCTCTCCCCTCCCCTCTAAAACCCTGTTTGTTTCTCAGAGTCCATAGTCTCTCATGGTTCATCTCTCCCTCCAATTCCCCGCCCCCCTCATTTTTCCCTTCCTTCTCCTAGTGTCCTCCATGCTATTCCTTTTGTTCCACAAATAATTGAAACCATATGATAATTGACTTTCTCTGCTTGACTATTTCACTTAGCATAATCTCCTCCAGTCCCATTCATGTTGATGTAAAAGTTGGGTTTTCATCCTTTCTGATGGCTGAGTAATATTCCATTGTATATATGGACCACATCTTCTTTATTCATTCATCTGTTGAAGGGCATCTCGGCTCTTTCCACAGTTTGGCTATTGCGGACATTGCTGCTATGAACATTGGGGTGCATATGGCCCTTCTTTTCACTACATCTGTGTCTTTGGGGTAAATACCCAGTAGTGCAATTGCTGGGTCATAGGGTAGCTCTTTTTTTAAATTTTTGAGGCACCTCCACACTGTTTTCCAAAGTGGCTGTACCAACTTGCATTCCCACCAACAGTGTAAGAGGGTTCCCCTTTCTCCACAACCTCTCCAACATTTGTTGTTTCTTTCCCTGTCCATTTTTGCCATTCTAATTGGTGTAAGGTGGTATCTCAATGTGGTTTTGATTTGAATTTCCCTGATGGCTAATGATGATGAACATTTTTTCATGTGTCTGTCAGCCATTTGTATGTCTTCTTCAGAGAAGTGTCTTTTCATATCTTCTGTCCACTTTTTGACTTGATTATTTGTTTTTTGGGTGTTGAGTTTGAGAAGTTCTTTATAGATCTTGGATACCAGCCCTTTATCTGTGGTGTCATTTGCAAATATCATCTCCCATTCTGTGGGTTGCCTCAAAGAGGCAGTTTTATAGTTTGCTTACATTATGATGACCTAAAAAGAGTGAAAATAAAGTAAGAGGAGCAGAAATGGCAGTATTCTCCAAGGCAAATAGAACTATTAAATGGGAGAAGAAAGGCATATTTTGTATTATTCTAGTTTTAACCCACCAAAAAGACAAAAGCCTTTTTAAAAATTTAAATTGAATTAGACGGGTTGCCTGGGTGGCTCAGATGGTTAAGCGTCTGCCTTCAGCTCGGGTCATAATCTCCAGGTCCTGGGATCGAGCCCCACGTCAGGCTCCCAGCTCAGCAGGGAGTCTGCTTCTCCCTCTCCCTCTCCCCCTGCTTGTGCTCTCTTGGTCTTTCTCTCTCAGATAAATAAAATCTTTAAAAAAAATAAATAAATTCAATTAGCGAACTGACAGTACATCATTAGTTTCAGAGGTAGTGTTCAGTAATTTATCAGTTTCGAATAGCCTTTTTATAGAGGACAAGCAAGCATCAATATGTATAGAACAAGAGCTGTTAGTAATAAGAGATTGATGAACCATACCATTGTGGGAGAATTCAACACACCTCTTTCAGAAATTGGGAGATCCAGTAGAGAGGAAGGAACCAAACTGTAATCAGGAGACTGTGAATATCAAAATTCCACATTTTTCACATAGTGACGTATACATCTTTGAATCCTGCCCACAGAACCTATCTTGCATGTCATTTCAATTTTCAGTTTTATTGATAAGAGATTATATATGGACTTCGTTTGTAACTTTTCCTCTGTATTTATGTTTATTTTCTCTTTGTATTCCTTCTGTTCTTTACTTTTGTTTTCTCGTTTAATCAGGCTTGCCTGAGATTTGTCTGTTTTATTGATATTTTTAGTGAGCGTTTGGTTTCATTGATCAAATCTTTCATATCTTCTCTATGTAATTTTTGCTTATAATTTGATCAGAATTGATCTCTCATAGGCTTATGGTTTATTTTGGCTTTTTGAGCTAGCTTCATGGGTTGAGTGCTTAATTTATTTTCAGTCTTCTGTGTTTTCTGTTTGCCTCTAAAAATATAAATGTATTTTGAAATGGCTTTAGGCACATTGCATACGCTTTGATATCAAGTATTATATTGTTGTTCATTTTAAAATAATCTGCAATATCAATTTTGATTTCTTTTTTGACTGAAGAATTGTTTAGAAATATTTTTTTAAATTTTCAACTGTTAAAAATGTAGATCATGATATATTGGAGTCTCTACTCATCTCTTCCCTGCTAAATGTGTTGTCATTCTGAGCCAGGAAAGGGTTAGACCCTTTCTAGAGAGCCTTTACCACGTGAAGCATTAAGCAATGAATGAAGTCAAAATTTAGTTTTATTTTTAATAATTAAGATTTTTTTCCTCATTGTCTTTTATTTCCTTTAGTCTTACTGCTCTGATCCAAACCTCGTGTTAGATTTGAAGAACCTCATTGTGCTTTTTGCTGACACACTTCAGGTTTGTGACTTCTGTTTACATAGAGTTACCTAGATTAGTGTTCATCAGCTCTAGATCTTTTCCTTGTCTACCCAGCTTGAATAAATGCCTTTTAGTTTTTAGTTGTATTTCTTCTTTTCCTAGAGCTAGATCTTACCTTTTTATAAAGCATTTCCTGGTCATCACCTTGACCAGTTTATATTCTCATAAGTAGTTCCAGTCCCCTTTTTTTGCTCAGAGCCAAGTGAATTAATTGAACCACTCACTACCTTAGTTTTTTAAAATGTCTTTAATTCAGATACAATGCCTGAGTGATTTTGGAGTTTTTTAAAACTACTATCTTGAATAATGATTGTTGATTTGAACCACGAATCATATCCAATAAGATAGCATTAGAAGTGGTTAGCATTTCAAATTTATCTCCCTGTTCATGAAGTTTGCTAAGGGTACATGACGAGTTGCAGGGAGAACTTAGTGGACACTGTACCCAGTATATATTGATTTTAAATTTCATCTTTCTATTTTTTTTCTGCCTGGCTTAAATATTTTGGTATGTATCTTTTAATTTTTGAGAGATAAGCGCTAGACATTAGGTGGGAATGAAACATGCTGCTGTCATGCTTTCATTTAAATTGAATGATAATATATTTCAGTGCTTGATTTCTCTCATGTTGCTAATAAAAAAAATCACCCTATAAAATGAAGTTATTTTCTTATTTTGTTTCAGGTGTATGGTTTTCCTGTAAATCAGCTTTTTGACATGCTGTTAGAAATCAGAGATCAGTATAGTGAAACTCTGCTGAAGAAGTGGGCAGGTATCTTCAGGTGAGAAATTATCTGTAGTCCTGGGTGGTGTGTATGTGTACATGTGCGCATGTGTGCTAGTGTCTGTTCATGCATAAGGCTTCTCACATAAATAAGCAACAAGTATGTGTGGCTTATATATTCCAGCTGTGATCCAAGTTATGATTCAGAATTCAAGCAAATTGTAGAGATGTCCCAAATAAAGTTCCCAAGATATCTGATCTCAGTGTATTATGTCTACTGTGTGGAGAGTCCCCAGACCCCATTTTGGCCTTTTTTCCCATCTTGAATAAATGTCAGATACCTGAGTTCATACCATTCAGATCATTTTGTGTCTTCTTAATACATTTTTTGACTTTCTTTTTGAAGATCATGGCTAGTCTATAGTTCACTTATAGGGTAATAGCTTTGAGCCCTTTTGAATAATTTAGGAGTTTTGGAACCTTTTTTGAAGACTTACTCATGTGATTCCTCACATTCTTCCTTCTCGACATTTAGAGAGGAAACCTATTCCAATCCAGTGTTTGAAGTGTTTATTTAGATTTCATTTATTTATTTGTCAGAGAGAGAGAGCACAAGCAGGGGGAGCGGCAGGCAGAGGGAGAAGTAGGCTCCCCGCTGAGCAGGGAGCCCAGCGTGGGACTCGGTCCCGGGACTGTGGGATTGTGACCTGAGCCGAAGGGAGACGCTTAACCAACTGAGCCACCCAGGCGCCCCTGAAGTGTATTATTTAAATGGTTACTGCATCATGCATCGTGTATACAGTAATATGACAGTTACCCTGTTATACCTTGCACTGACAAATATCTACTTGGACTGTTTTCCTGGCACACAACCCATGTCAGATCACTTGAGTTTCTTCTCCTTTTGAGCCTTTATTCTCTTATTTAAAGTGATCTTCTTGCTTTATTGCAAGACCCTATCCCCAGATCAGCTTACCCCGTTTTCAAGTTCTTCTAGCTTTAAGATCTTACATTTTTCCTTTAACCTTACTAATGGTACAGTTGTGTTTATGGGAGGATTATGTCTGTAAGAGCCTTGAAAATTAATAACATCGTATATCCATGGTCTTAAAGAGTGTCTGATCCGATCCCTTCAGTAAATTTGATTTTGATTTTGGTAGTATAGTATGCTTTTAGAGAGTTTCCAGTCTAGTTAAGGAGCCAGTTCCTATGGATGAAGTTCATCCTTAACACAGAACAGTAGATGAAGTATATGAATATAATTTGGATTTATTATAGAAGTTACTTTTCCCCATCTGCCAATTTTGAAAGTTAGAATAGAAGATCTATTACAGTATTAAAGAACATAATCAAATATATTTTCTTTAAAAACAAAGCAGAAAACCCCCAAATAAAACCTTTTTGCTTTTTTTCCAAGCACACAGTCTTTTGTTGTTTACTACTCGTTTGCCTTATGACTTCTACATGTTGCAATGAAATTTTGTCTCATCTAAAAATGTCAAATACTATGAGACTATGTTTATAATTGTGTTCCCTTTGTTTCAGAGTGTAGTTTTCTTTTGGTCTTCTGTTAAAGATGTTTTTTCCTGAAATAGATAGCTTCACTGTAGAAGGAATAGGCTAGGGACTGGAAAACATTGTTTTGGTGGCTATATACATGCAACCATTTGAGTTTACCTGAAAACAACTTGTGATCACTACAGTGATTAACCAGCTCACCCTTCCTTCCTTCCTTCCTTCCTTTTCTTTCTAGAAACATACTTGATTCTGACAATTACAGTCCTATACCAGTAACAAGTGAAGAAATGTATAAAAAGGTGGTAGGACAGTTCCCATTCCAAGATACAGAGTTGGAAAAGGTAAGAGTACTTTAAAATAAAATTCTGTTTGCTTTGGCATCCTCTATAAGTTTTCATTTTATCAGTTTCATTAAAGGCATTACCTCCAACAATGCATTAGACCTCTAGAACACCTTCAGAGAATGATTTTGGGGCTTTAGAAGAACAGAAGTTCCTGTTTTGGGAATCAGTAGAAGACCTGAGGGTCCTTTCACCTCTGAAGTGTTAGGAGTATTGCTGGGCATGTTCCAATGTTGTTTATACTTTGAAATACTTGCTTTTATTATAGTTTGAGGACATTTTCTCTGCAAACATACAGTAAAAATTATCCCATGCTCTATAATTCTATTGGTTTTGACAGTGTATTGAGTCATATATGTACTACCACAATAATGACACCAAAACAGTTCCATCATCCTCAAAAGTTCCCTCATGCTGCTCCTTTTTAATCAATTCCTCCCAGCCCTAACCCCCAGGCTTTGGCAACCAGTGTAGTTGCTATCCATCTACTTTTGCCTTTTCAAGAATGCCATATAAACGGAATCATACAGTAGGTAACCTTTTGAGGCTGGCTTCTTTCACTCAGCATGATGCTTTTGAGATTTGTCTAAGTTGGTGTATGTAGCAATAATTCATTCGTTTTTATTGCTGAATACTTACCACAGCCTTTTTTTGGGTCCCTCATGTGTTGAAAGACATTTGAATTATTATTTATTTAAATTTATATCTCATTCTTTTCAGCATCAGGAAACTTTTGGAAACACTTTCTTAAATTTGAGGTTGTTAATTCCTTTTGCATTTTAATTAATTTATAAGTATTGTCAACGTATGTTGGTTTGTGACTTGCTTTCATTCATTCTTGCATTTATAGCAACCATTTCCAAAAAAGTTTCCTTTCTCTGAATTTGTGCCAAAAGTTTACAACCAAATTAAAGAATTTATTTATGCCTGCCTGAAGTTTTCGGAAGATCTTCACCTAAGGTATGCTTTGAAACAGTGGAAATGTAACAGATGTTGAGATTGTGACTCTTAACGTGCATGAATATTCTGAAAACCTTTGCATAACCCCTTCAGCTCTGATTTTGAAAGTATTAATATTAGCCATTCACAGCATGGCATCTGCCATATTATAAAGTCATGGTAAAAGGGGAAGTTGGAAACTTGAAAATAATTTGTTTTTGTTTCTATTACTTTGCTTACTCTCTATTTTCATTGTAGATTTGCATTTCAACACTTTTTTTGTTAGTGAGAAGTCACTAGAAAACAGTATATTAATTTTTACTTACTAAAATTGATGAGATTTTAAGGCCACCAGGGGAGTAGCAAGTATAATCCCTTGGAAACATCCTTCTTTCCAAATACTCTCTGGACTTGTTGAAGGTATCCTCATCTCCTTTAAGATAAATTATTTGACTAATGTATACCAAGCCTATTTATGTCCCAGATACATCCTGCCTACTGGGAATGCAGAAGTAAAAGACACAGTTCTTTGCCCTCAGATATTGACAGTATGTACTGAGGATATTAGACATGAAAATATACCATGGCAAGTGCTGAAATATGGAGAGTTGACTTTCAAAACACCTAGACTACTTAGCTCATCTTAAAGAATTTAAGGGGAATAGTCATTATGATTGTTTTTCTAAAAGACAGTATTTTAGACAATCTTTTAGATTGTCTTTTCTAGAAGATTATTGTCTTTTCTAGAAGAACCCCCTCCTCTCAGTGAATGATACTACCATTCACCCAAGCCAGAAATCTAAGAATCATTTCAACTCCTTATTTTCTATTAACTATTTTTATTAAAAACAAAGTTTCAAGCATTGGTCTCTATTTTTGTAAACACTTTACAAATATATTAAAAACGTCTGTAAAACTGAAAATAGTACTAATCTATGAGGTACTAGAAAGTATATTCCATTTTTCAGAGGAAGAAAGTGAGCAGAGAGAGGTTTAGTAACGTTATCAAGATCACACAGGAGTGGTTTTTAAAAAAAATTTTTATTGTTATGTTAATCACCATACATTACATCATTAGATTTTGATGTAGTGTTCCATGATTCATTGTTTGTGCATAACACCCAGTGCTCCATGCAGAACGTGCCCTCTTTAATACCCATCACCAGGCTAACCCATCCTCCCACCCCCCTCCCCTCTAGAACCCTCAGTTTGTTTTTCAGAGTCCATAGTCTCTCATGGTTCGTCTCCCCCTCCAATTACCCCTCTTCATTCTTCCCCTCCTGCTATCTTCTTCTTTTTTTTTTTTTCTTAACATATAATGTATTCTTTGTTTCAGAGGTACAGATCTGTGATTCAACAGTCTTGCACAATTCACAGTGCTCATCATAGCACATACCCTCCCCAGTGTCTATCACCCAGCCACCCCATCCCTCCCACCTCACCTCCCACTCCAGCAACCCTCAGTTTGTTTCCTGAGATTAAGAATTCCTCATATCAGTGAGGTCATATGATACATGTCTTTCTCTGATTGACTTATTTCACTCAGCATAAAACCCTCCAGTTCCATCCACGTCGTTGCAAATGGCAAGATCTCATCAGGAGTAAGTGTTTAAGCCAGAATTCAAATCTGGTCAGCATCAACTTCAACAAAAGGATTACTGCCATGTTTACAATTCTTACATGCATTGTCTCCGATGGTTGTCACAATGTTAAGTGTTAATTATTCCCATTTAACAAATGAAGGCAGTGCTCTTTTGTAAATTAGCCTCTCTAAACCTAATTGGTGACAAAATGGATTGTTGTGTTTTTTATTTGCAGCTTTTTTTTCTTTAAAGTTCTCTCTTCCCAGTGTGGCTTCTTTCATTCACATTGTAGTTATAATTGACTTGGGCCACTTAAATAGTCTCCTAATTATTCTGAAATGTCTAGCTTTGCTTTCCCAACCATCTGCCCTTTCTCCTCATTCTATTCTGTATGTTCCCTGGAGTAATTCTTCTAAAATAAAATCTTATCATTTAACTTTACTCTGCTCACCTTTCCAAGGATTTCTCATGGCCTACTGCATAAAATTCAAACTCCAGCCTGACACAGTTATCCATCTGCCTCCTCCCCCACTCTTTGACCTAGTCCCCCTTGTACCTTTCCAGGTTCATATCCCAGGCTAATTTCTGTGTCACTCCATGCTTCAGTCCTACCAACCTGTTTGCTGTTTTCTGATCCTAATATGCTTTTTTATACTGGGCTTTCCTCATGACTGTCTCTACCTGAAATTACCTTTTCCTTGTTAGTGCTTGTAACTAGCTTCTAACCATCCTTCCAGGTTCACTTTAAGCCTTTAATGAATGAAACCTTTCTGACCACTTCCATCCCTAATGGAGTTGATCTCCTGACTCCTTTGTGCTCTTTCTGTACTTCGTGAATGCTGTTATCAAAACTCCTCTTAGATTTTATTGCTGTACTTGTATCTTTGTGTTTCTGTATGTGCTAGCCTGCAGGCTCCTTTGTTTATTTATCTACTGGTTTATTCGTCTTACATTATAGGTACACTGTTATTTGTCAGATGATGCTTGGTAGTGAGGACATTAAGATGCTGAAAATATGTTCCCTGTCTTCAAGGAGTGTGTAATCTAACTGAGGAACTGAACAATTGGTGATAGTTGTGTTATGATGGAGAGACATAGCAGCAACATAGGAGCCAAAAATTGAGGCAAATTAAGGATGTTAGAAAAGGCCTCTTGAAAGGTAGAAACATTTAATGTTTTGTTCAGCACAACATCCCCTGCACCAGCTCAGTAAATTAAAAAAAAAAAAAAAAAAAAGAATGAGTGAATGGAATGTATGGCATGCCACGCAACTCTGAAAGTAAACATAATTGGAAAATAGTTTGAGTCACTTGTTTGATAATCATTCTTACTAAGTAAAAAATGAACCATAGGGCTTGTACAGTTAATTTGTTCTTTTCTTTGAAAATGAGGTTGTTTTCATGGAAATGGTTGCGTGGAGATGAGCTTATCTTTGGAAGTTACAAACCAAAACTTTTTCTTACCCCTTGGGGCCCCCCTTCTCCACCACCGCCAAATGACTTAATAACCAAGAATGATCTCTAGGGTACTGTCAGGTATGTTACTATATAGAAAATATTACAAGTTCCTCACATTGTGACTCTTTCTATCCTGTGTTGGAGGAAAGGTAATATGGTAAAGGGATACTGTGAGTAAATTGTTCAGAAGTCTTTTTCTTGCTTGAATATATTGAGCTTTTGCCTGAAAACCCCATTATGTTTAACATTGACAAAAATAAGTATTCAATTTGGGAAGATTTTTCAGCTGCCTTTACTCTTTGGTTTACATTTACCTTATTTTCTAGGCTATATTTGCTTTATATATACCTGCAGTGACAGAGACCACTTTGACAATCATAGCTGTCATGGGGGGAGATTATAATTTGGGATATGAGAATAATATGTATAAAAACAATTAGTTCTCTTAAACACAAGACTCTTAAAATTGAAAAACTGCTGTATTGAGATTTTTATGAAGCTTTAAAGATAATTATTCTTGTAAATGAAACTCATATTTTTTTCCTTATAAGACTTTTCTCTTTTACCTTGGATAGAAGATGCTGAATAGCATTAGAAATATTGAAAAACAATGTATGAATTCTGAGGACACAGAACTCTTTCTGTTTGAAAGAAAATTCTTTTTTTTTTTTTTTTTAAAGATAGCAAATAAATGCATGTCTTTGGTAAAATAATGTTGTAGCACTTACACTTGACTTAAAAAATAGGAATACACACACACACACACACGCACACATATACACACACAGTTTATTAAGTTATAAAATTGGATCTCTGTAAAGAATTTAGGAGACAGAGAATAGTTCAAAGAAGAAAAATTTGAAAGACTCAAAATTTTAACACATAGTAATAACCACTCTTTATACCTGGGAAATCTTTTTCTTTTAGTCTTTCTTCCATGTGAATCCTGTACATGCATAGGACTTTTTTTTTTTTTTTTTAAAGCAAATTACTGTGAGATATTTCTGCTTCTATTTACAATATAGAAGGCTGGAAAGAGTATTGTTTCCTCCCTAACAATGAAAAAAAGCACAAAACAAAACAGATAAACTACAAAATGAAATTTTTTCTGGAACCCATCAGAGAGCAGAAGGCACTTAGAAAAAAGAAGATGCTACATGCAGGTATAGTGAAAAGTATTATAGCAGACTTCTCAAAAATGGCAAGCCTGAGAGGATGGTGTGCCAGGCTTCAGGGACTCAGGACAAATCAAGCGAGAGTTCTATAGACAGCAAAGTAACTTCCAGAAACAAAGTAAATATTTTTAGCCAAACGGAAGCTGATAATTCATTGCCAACGGACCTGTAGTCTTTCTGCAGACATGAAATAAATGGAAATTCTTTATATAGAAGGTATATATGGGATCTTCCCCTCCTTCCTTCCCTCCCTAGTTGTTTCTCGCTCTGTATCTCTGTGAGTGTGTGTGTGTAGTATTATAAGACATATTTATATTAATTTTGTCTTTTCTCCCTGTATAATTATCATTATCATTTTCTTTTTGTTATGTCATGTTTGTGTTTATGTTGAAATACTTTGTATTCTGTTAGTTATCAGATGTTCTTCATATCCCTCCCCCTTATAGTATCCATTAATGATTCTTGCCTGAATCAGTTTTTCACTTGGATAATTACTGGCTTATGGTTCTTAATTAACTTATGGTTTCTTAATTCCTTGTGTATTACTTGGAATTCTCTTTTAAGGAGTCCTTCCCCATCTGCTTCCTTGCTACCTATCTTCTATCTCCCTACCTGTTTATCATCTACCTATCATCAGATGAGATTCACAGATTCTTACTTAATTCACTTGGTTCATTACTATATTTATTTTGATGCTCAGACTGTCCCAGACTTAGGGCATGTGAACCATTTCAGACTAGCTCCTATGCCTTGTTGATGTATTCTTGTCACATTTTGGGACATTACTTAACCATGGTATCATTGATTTATCCAAGGAGCCCACTTCCTTTTAGTGTTGAGTGGTATCTTAAACATAAGATCTGGGCATGTGTCTTTATTTTAAAATGTGTCATTTTGAATCAACAAATAGTTGCATATTGTTTTTTTTTTTTTTTAAGATTTTTCATTTATTTATTTGAGAGAGATTGAGAGAGAGCACAGGGGGACGGGCAGAGGGAGAGGGAGAAATGTGGGGCTCCATCTCAGGACTGTGAGCTCATGACCTGAGCCAAAGGCAGAAGCTTACTACTGAACCACCCAGGTGCCCCTGCATATTGGTTTTTTATGCAGTCTGCTTAGCTGGAGTGTTTATTCCATTACCTTAATGAATTTAGTGATATGGTCAACCTTAAGCCTGCCATCTTGCTATTGTTTTCCTATTTGTCTCATTCATTTTTGGCTCATTTTTTCCTGTTTTCCTTCCTTCTTCTTGATTAGGTTATTTTAGTATTATGACTTATTTTTCCTATTGGCTTTACTTGAATATAACTTCTTTTTTTTTTTTTAATTGTTTGTGTGCTTGCTCTAGGGATTACAGTGTACAATGTTAACTTATCATAGTTTACCCTGAATGATATTATATCATTGTGCATGTAATTTAAGAATCTTCAACAGTATAAAGTAATTTATTTTCTCACTCCTTTTTTTTAGCATATATATTTTTAAGAATTTTATTTATTTATTTGACAGAGAGAGCCAGAGAGCACAAGTGGGGCAAATGGCAGAGGGAGAGGGAGAAGCAGGCTCCCAGAGCCTGATGTGGGGCTCGATCCCAGGCCCCTGGGATCATGACCTGAGCTGAAGGCAGACGCTTAACCGACTGAGCCACGCAGGCGCCCCTTCTCACTCCTTTTTTTGATGTTGTTGGTATATATTGCACATATACACCTCTTTTTAACTCTAAAATATGTTATTGTTTGTGCTTTTAACATTTAATAGTATTTTAAGGTTCAAGAAAAAAATTTATATTTATTTAATTTTGCGTAGCGTTGGTACACATACGTACCATTTTCAGGCCTTCTCATTCTTTTCTACATATCTAGGTAACCCTTTGGTATCATCTTCCTTTAGCATGAAAAATTTCTTTTAGCATTTCCTTTAGGATTATATCTTCTGGTATTGGATTGTCTTAGCTTTAAAAAATATTTCTAAAATATTTAATTTTTTAAAATTTAAAAATTTTTTTTAGAGAGAGAGAGAGAGTGGTATGGGGGGAGGTACAGAGAGGGAGGGGGAGAGAGACTCTTAAGCAGGCTCCACCCCCAGCATGGAGCCTGACACAGGGCTTGATCCCAGGACCCTGAGATCACAATCTGAGGCAAAATCAAGAGTTGGACCCTTAACTGACTGAGCCACCCAGGCGCCCCTCTAAAATACTTTAATTTAAAAGTTATTCTAAAAGTATTTTTATCATCTCTGTTTTCAAAAATATATTTTCTAAGCCATAGAATTCTAGGTTGATAGTCTTCCCTTTCCCTACACTTTAAAGATTGTGTTCCACTGTCTGCTTCCATTGTTTTCTGAAGAGAAATAAACTATCATTCCTATTGTTCCTCTGAACTTAACTGTCTTTTTTCTATGGTTGTTTTTAAGATTTTCTTTTTGTCTTTGGACTTTACAATTTGACTGTGATATTCTTAAGTGTTGTTTTATTTATACTAATTTTGTGTGGAATGTACTAAACCTCATGGATCTGTGGGTTGAAATATTTTATCATGTTTAGAGATGATTTTGCTACTATTTCTTTAAATATGTCTTCTTTCTCATTCTTTTTTTCTTCTGCAACTCCTAGCTGGTTGATGGATCATTGAGATTTCATCATTACTTGAGTGAACTGAATGTCTCAGTTTTAGTTAGGTTCAAATTACTTCTGATTTCAAATGCTATTGCAGAAGTCTCTTTGTGCATAAGACCAACTCTGAAATTCCAAAGCTTTCATCCAGGAGCTTATCTCTAATCTTAACAGTATTTGAGCTGGGCTGTGTTTCAGCATTAGTTAGTTTTTTCTCTCTTTTGGATTGCATTTCAGTAGCCCTGAATCCAAAACCCCTTGCAGAATTTGCAAGATCTCTCTCTGATTTCTCACACTACCCTCACCATTTCTTATGGAGCATAACTCTTGTAGGGGAGAATTGTTGCGTCAGTTAATTTATTTTTGTTTTGAGGCTCTCCCGGATTCCAAACTGTAATAGTAGCCCATACTGTTAAAGGTTTGGTCTATTTCTCTTCATCTCAGCAAAGCCTTTCAGCCTCTGACTGTTTTAGTCTTTTATCCCTTATCCATTTGTACCCAGATTAGGCAAATGCCCTCAGATATGGAAGTGACTGCTACCCTTTGCTCACCTTTCAAAGGCATGTCCCAGTGTGGTGTGCAGTTTTGTTCAGTTATACATTTGTGTGTGTGTGTGTGTGTGTGTTACACTTTGTTGACATTGAAGGAAAATATAGCTTTTAAGATTAGACCTAACTTTTTTGTTGTTATGAAAGTAATGGTGGTCTTTCTTGATCTTCTACATCATATCCAAATGTGGAACTTCTGCTAGATCTTCTTAAACCATAGTAGAGCTACATAATCAGTACTGGATGTCATGAGAGCGATTAATATCAGGAGCACCAGATTACTTTAGGCACCTGTGTTAATCACTTTTATAGCCACCTTTACTTATTTGTAGCTCATATTACAATTGACCTGATGTAATTATGAGTTTAATATATGAAGGCAGGAACCATGACTATTTTGTTCATTCACCATTTTGATCTCATTATTCCATCAACACAATTCCCAGCCCCTCATATATTTGTGGAATGAAGTATTTCAGTTCAGTAATAATTTTGGAAAGGTTAGCAGTAAGCTAGAGGGTATTGGTCAATTAAATGTATCTTTGTATGGACCCTGTGAAAATATTTTGATGTATCTTTTTTTCCTGATTTATGTCCTTGCATTCTGTAGTCTTATTTCTTTTTAGTATTTTTCTTTTTTCCACATAGCATGATAATGTAGCCTCCCTATATATTTAGAATTGTAAGATTTTTAATCTGACTATACTAAGCCTCTTATTTTCTTTTCTAGAAAGAGAAATCAATGAGATAAATTTTGTGACCATTGTCCACAAGTAATAAATATACAAAGAACTCACAAATCTCTATTTACAGTTATTTCTTGATGTTTATAATCTAGTATTTCTATTACAGTAACCTTATCATTGAAGAAATACTTGTCTTAAGAGGATGTCTTTTATAGAAAGCCATCTTGGGTGATGCTTTCAGGGGCTCATGAAGGATGTATAGGTCTAGAATTTAGTCTGTTGGTTACAGGACTATTGTCTTTTTTTAAACTTTGCATATAAAGATGGCTATTGAGGAGTGCCTGAGTGGCTCAGTCATTAAGCATCTGCCTTCGCCCTGCGTCAGGCTCCCTGCTCAGCGGGAAGCCTGCTTCTCCCTCTAACACTCCCCCTGCTTGTATTCCCTCTCTCTCTGTCAAATAAATGAATAAAAATCTTAAAAAAAATAACGATGGCTATTGAATAATTGTCTTTATGTTTTAAAGTATAGAAAATGTCATTATTGGGGCACCTGGCTGGTCAGTTGGTAGAGTATGCAACTCTTGATCTTGGGGTTGTGAGTTTGAGCCCTATTTTGGGGGTAGAGTTTACTTAAAACAACAACACATGATAAGGGCTTAATAATGTCCATTGGATTAAAAATGAGTGAATAAATTAAAAAAAGAGAAAATATCTTTATTGATCACTTTGAGGATAGTAAGAATTATAAGACATTTATGTATAATTAAACTGCTGGTCTGAAACACTTATTTTGGAATCAGAGCTAAATAGACATTATATGAAAGATGACAGTACAGGAGCAGAGATATCTTTTCTTAGGAGCCTTTACCAGCTAATGGTGCAGGAAGCCAATAGAGAGACCATGTTGGAAAATTATAAATATTAACAACCTATGAAGGAACTTGGAAGTATAGGAGAAATAATGGTTTCAGGATGAGAAATCATGCTGGGGAATTCTTTATCTACCCTGAGAGACAGTATAGCATAGTGTTTAAATGCTGTGGGTTTTAGAGCTAGATGGCCTGTGTTGAAGTCCTTTTTGTGCTGTGTACTTACTGTGTGACCTTGAACAAGTTACTTAACTTCTCTGTGCCTTCATTTCCTCATCTGTAAATTAGAAATACTAGTAAAAGTATTTAGTATCACGAATGTGAAGTTAAATGAATTTTGATATATTAAAGTACTTAGAATCTAATCTCTGGCACAAAATAAATGTTATTTGCTGCTGCCATTATTATTATTGTTGTTTTTATTATTATTATTATCGTTCTCAGAAGTACCACTGGCACCTTGTTTGTTTGCAAAGTAATCCTGCTACCTGGGATGACTGACTCGAGAATTCTTTTTCAGCTCAACTGAAGTCGATGACATGATTCGCAAATCTACAAACCTGTTGCTAACCAGAACTCTGAGCAACTCCCTGCAGAATGTCATTAAAAGGAAGAATATTGGACTTACTGAGGTAAAGCTTCTCTTAATGGAGGCAGCCAAGGCTATATGTGAACAGACGTCCTAAGCTCTGGGGCCTGTTTGTGAGTTAATTATAACTTTCTATATGGTCCATCACGTTCTTCCTAATGGAGTTCTAATGGTGCAAGTGCAAAACAAATCATTTGTTTTTCTCTTTGGTCACTTCGGAGAAATCTATTACATTTTTGAAAAGTCACTTTTTCTCTCTCTCTCTCATTATTTTCACCAGCTTAACTGGTTTTCCTTTCCAAAGTTGTTGTGATAAATTTGTCGTATTTGCCATCAATTACATGAAAACAAACTTGTTGGTGAGAGAGTATAGTCAACATCAGGTTCCTATCTAAATGAGTGGCAGTTCAGATACAACATACAATATGAAATCACATGCATAAATCATCGATGCCAAGCATATTGGCACTTATTGTCCACGGTTAGTGTTAGACTCTGCTTTTGTATTTGAGATACCTCATGTATATGAATGGTAAATTACTCTTCATCAGCATGCAAGTCTGGGGATTTGGGATTGAGGAAATGTGAGAGAAAGGCAATCGTCACATTTCTCTGGAAGCTTACAGAATCTCACAAAGTGAGGAGGGATATTACACACATGTTGAGAACAGTATCTTGGCAAACTGAAGATCTGGCACATTGGCGTATAGTCCTAAAATTTAGAAAGATGTGAAGTTTCCTTTCTCTTGGAAACCCAGGATTGCATGGGAGCGTCAACCTGCCATTTTATGGAAATTTTAGTGCCAAAAGTGAGAGCTTGGAGGAATTTTTTTCACAGAGAAAGGGAAAGGCTGTTGACCATCTGTTTTACTTGTAGAGGTGGTGTAGTTTGAAAGTTGCTCTAGGAAAAATTGACATTTTCAGATATACACTATCAAAGATAGTGGTGAAAGTAGGCAAATGGTTAATGATGCTGAGTCATAGGTAAAGACAGCTGGAAGCCAGGTGAACATCTACTTCTGATTTTGGACTGCTTGTTCCTTTCCCTGTGTTAAGATTTTAAAATATTATAATGTGGAACTTCGGCAGTGTTTGAGTTCTGCTTATAGCAAACTGTTTTACGATTGAAAGTTACATTCGAAGGACAGTTCCCTCATTTTGCAGAGCTTCCTTTCTGCTGCTTGGTATAGAAATATTAGGTATTATCTTTACGTGTCTGAGAATAGGTTAACTTCTTTTCATCATCAGGAGGGCTAAGAAAAAAGGAGAGTGGAGTGAAAAGTCGGAAGTCCTCCTGCTTTTGTTACATTGTACTGTTCTCCTTTTGTGAATCCCAAGCAGGACAGGAAGCTTGCTATTTATTTTGTGAACTATCTCTATATTACAACTCTTGATATAAGTTTTCTTATGCCATTTGATTTAACAGTCTCTCCAAACATTTTAAACAAGTAGCGTAACAGGAATACGGTGCGATAGAAACAGCTTTGACCTCAGAAGTGTCTTGAGTTTAGCGGTGGCTGTGCCATTGGTTTACTATGACATCTTAAGAGAAAGACCCAACTTCTCAGTTCTTCAGTTTTCCTGACTTCATTGTCCTTTAAGGGCACTGCACAGGTCAGGTCAGGATAGGAAGAGGCAGTAGGAGCTTATCAAAGACTATATCATAGTTCTTGGCACCATTTCAGTGAAGGCTAACTATTCTTCCTCAGTCACTGGATCTTTCTAGGCAGTAATGCCCTTTCGTTATCAATGTCTTTGCATATGGCTAAAGGAACATCTGCACACGTTGATTTATTTTGGCTATTATGGTGGTGTGCACGTGTATAGACAAATACAGACCCAACCAGTAATTTTTATCACCAGCCAGTAAATCTTTGAATAACTATGTTACTCACCTTTGGGAAAAAAAGACATTATATCTTCATTTACAGGGAACTCAGGTGAGTTCCCATCTGAAATCATCATCACGCTAGGTAACGTTTGTGGAACAGTTTGTATTCTTCAAAGCCCATCACAGATACCATCTCATTTAGGACAGTCACATTTGGAACTAGCTGGGCATGTGTTATTATTCCCATTTTATAGACGGCGTAATTCAAGTTCAGGGAGGTTGCCCACGGTTATGTAGTTAATAAAATGATAAAAATGAGACCGATGTCTGGGTTGTTTTTTCCCAAACTTAATTCACTTTTCTATAAGGTACTGCCTTCCATATTAATTTAATTATTTTATCGTAACAAAGGGATTTTTATAAAAAGTCCATAGTAATATGGAAATTGTTCTAGTTAGAGATGATTTTGTGTCAGCGAGCACATAGCCATTTAAACAATAGAAGTATTATAAGCATAGAGAACTCAACCGAATCCTACTTCAGGTTATCAGACAATTCTTTCAGGACTTAAAGGTTCCTATAAGCTCATGTCTCTCTGTCGGCCTGTCTTGTTTGAATTTACATGGTATCTCATTTCTTCTCTCTTTCTGTCCATACGCTCTTATCCTTTCAGCTGTGTACCCTGGCTTTCTTGCTTTTCTCATTGCTGCTTTGCTCCCCCACGTTGAGCCAAGTCAGCATTTCCTTTCAGTTCTCGCTTACTGTAGCTTAAATTCCTTGCACTCTCAGACCGTTTGTGCCTATCCCTATTCAGTCAGCGAGGTTAGCTGTTTTCTTAGACTGCTTCTTCCAGGTCTGTGGGGAGAAGGGCAGCTGAGCTGTGAAGAATGTGTGTTCTAAAGCAGAGTACCTGGGTTCAATTCTGCCTGGGTTCTCTTCCCTTACTAGATGTGTGCTGGGGGAAATGACTTGGCTTTATGTGTAAAATGGGGACAAGAAGAGCACTTACTTCATAAGGTTGTTGTGAGGATTGAATGAACATACGAAGTGCTTACAACAGTGCCTAGTACATAGTGAATACTCAAGGCATATTACCTGGTATTGTTAAGAAAGAGGTCTGGGCGGGTGAACAGTGATTGTCAGGTTTAGTGCAGAGATGGTTTTTCAACTAAGAGAAGTTAGAAGATTAGAGCAAGACGACCTGTTAAGATAAATAACTTGCTTATTAACTTAATAGTATTAATTGAGTACCTACTGTGTAACAGGCACTGATCTAAGCTTTATGGATAAATAAGTGAACAACAACAGAAAGAGTCCTTGTTTACATTCTAGTGGCAGAAAACATAATAGATAATAAGCAAAATAAATAGTAAATCATCTAGTATGATAGAGGGAGGTGAATGCATTGAAGAGAAAGTAAGAACCTGGGTTAAGGGAATCAGGAGTCTGGTGGAGGTTGAAGGTTGGTCTTAATAAAAAGATGGTGAGGCAAATAGCATTCTTGGCAAAGGTTAGAGCAAAGGTCTAAAGGTATTAAGTTACTGGTCAGTTCAGGGAATAATAAGAAAGCTAGGGTAAAGCTAGAGTGGAGTGAGAAGGGGGAAGAGAAGCAGGAGATTAGATCACAGAGGTGTCAGGGGTTTGTGGTCGGCCCCTGTAAAGTGTTAGGCTTTTATTTTAAGTGAAGTGGGAAGCTGTTGCAGGAATATGATGAGTGAAATGATGTGACACATTTCAGAGGAATAACATTGACTGTGGTTTTGAGAATAAACTGTAGGGTGTAAACAGGGAGACCAGTTGGGAAGCTATGACACTAATACAGCGAGATTTAATGGCAGCGTTGGTGGTGGTGACAGGTTATCAGATTTGGAGTGTAGAGTCAGCATGCTTTCCTGATGAATGGATGTGAAGGGAGAGAGAAAGCAAGAAGTTGAAGGTAACTCCAAGATGTTTTGATTTTAGCAGCTAGATGGTTGTATATACCATGCACTGTGTTGGCAAAATCTTTAGGTAGAGCTAGGTTTAGAGTGGAGGAGATTGGGAATTTGATTTTGGACATATTTAATTTGTAGTGTTTACTCACATACATTTTGCGATATTGAGTAAATGGTTGTATTTTTGAGTTTGGAGTTTGAAAGAGAGGTTTGGCCTGGAGATAAATTTTGGGGAATACAAATAATATTTATAACCACCTGATCAGATAGTATTACTAAAGGAATTTGTAAAAATGGAGAAGAGAAGATGAAGGACTGAACTCTTGGGTATTCCATTATTAAGGAGTCAGGAGAAAAGAGGAACTCACAAAGGATTGGGAAGGAGCCACTAGAGAAGGAAAAAAACAAAACAAAACAAGAACAGTAACAGGAGTATGGTGTCTCAGAAGCCAAGTGAAGAAAGTATATCAAGAAGGAGGGAGTAGTCAGCTTGACAAATACTGATGATCGATTAGGTAAGATGAAGATTAAGAATTACTATGGGACTTAGTAACTTGGAGTATGTTGGTGACCTCAGTAAGATCATTTTTAATAGAATGATGATAGGAGGCTCCTGATGGAGTAGGTTTAAAAGAGATTGGGTCCTGTACAGAAGAATTTCAAATAATCTATGTAGATAGTACCCTCTCAAGGAGGTGGAGCTTAGCTCCCACCCCTTGTATGTGGGTTGTGCTTAAGACTTGCTTTCCAGGGTATGGAAGGAGGGAAAAAGTTACTTTACAGTGAAGAAACCTGCCAGACACTACCTCGGTCAGGTGATCAAGATGAACATAATCATTGGTAAGTGATAGTGATCGCATGTACCTTTGGTATGATGTGATGAGAAGGCATTTGTGATCCCCCAAAATACACTCTAACCATGAGAAAAAAATTAAAAAAACCCAAATTGAAGGACATTCTACAAAATACCTGACCAGTACTTCTTAAAACTATTAGGGTCTCGGGCGCCTGGGTGGCTCAGTTGGTTAAGCGACTGCCTTCGGCTCAGGTCATGGTCCTGGAGTCCCAGGATCGAGTCCCACATTGGGCTCTCTGCTCAGCAGGGAGTCTGCTTCTCCCTCTGACCCTCCTCCCTCTCCTGCTCTCTGTCTCTCATTCTCTCTCTCTCAAATAAATAAATAAAATCTTTAAAAAAAAAAAACAAAAAACTATTAGGGTCTCAAAAACAAGGAAAGTCTGAGAAACCGTTAACAGACCAGAGGAGGCTGAGGAGATGTG